TGAACAGAATATTTTTTATCAGAACTGGGTGCCCTTTTGCACTCGGTGTGGGGGAGGCCGACACATAACAGAAAAATGCCCCTTGACTCGTGTTGAATGTAATCTAAGGGAAAGAAATGTGGCTGCTGGGCATGGGAATGAGAATGGTGATACCGAGACTCAAGCTCTTGTAGCTACGGATGTGTGTGAGGCTGTTGTGGGTGACGAAGAGGATGTGGCAGAAAAGAGAACTGATGAGGCAGCACTGGTGGTAGTCGAAGATGGTACAGGAGTGCAAGATATTGTAGCTACACCTTTGCAACAACCTTTTGGAACTCCACAAGTCGAGGTGCAATCTCCTCCACCACCTCTTGAGATTGGAGATGAGGCCGCAAATGAGACATCTGACGCAGAAATTCCACAAGTTGAGGTGCAATCCCTCCACCACCTCCTGAAATTGAAGAGGAGGCCGGTAACGACAAAGAAGAAGCTGCTTTGTCAAAATCTGCTAGAAGAAAGGCCCGAAAGGCTAGGAAGGCGGCAGAAGCTGCCTTGAACCTCCATGCAACCTTGAGACTGTCTCTGAAGTTGATCCGGATCCACAGGCAGAAAATGAAGAAGAAAATGTTGTCACCTTACCCATAGAGCCCTCTCGTGTGGTGGCTGGGGCAAGAAGACGATCCCCGCAATCTAAGAAGCAAAAGAAAACATCTCGGACATCCCTGCCACTTGGGATTAACAAAGTGGCTGGCGGCGGTGGTCGGCGAGCACCCACCTCCGTTGCTCAATGTTGATCGGAACTTGGAATGTGAGGGTTTGAATCAACCCCTCAAACAAAAAGAAGTCTGGGACTTCGTTTGGAACAATAAACTATCTGTTATTGCACTTCTGGAAACTAAATTGTCGATTGAGAAAGCTGACTTGTTCGTTAAAAACCGAAAGAATGGATGGAAGCTTGCAACCAACTTCCATGATACTGTTGGTGGAAGGATTCTTGTTACATGGAACCCAGCGCTAGTAGACTGCTCAATCCTTGAGACTGGACCTCAACATGTCCACTGTCTCATTCTATGCAAGATTTCTCAGAAGAAGATTCTTTGTACTTTTGTCTATGGCCTCTTTTCTGTAGTTGCGAGAAGGCAATTATGGGAGAAGATTGAAGCACTTGGACTATTGATTGTTGAACCATGGGTAATCTCAGGTGACTTTAATACAGTGTTATCACCATCTGAAAGAAGGGGAGGAAACGAACCAACTAGATATGAGCTTCAGGATTTGGAGAATTGCTGTGCGAACATGGATCTAACGGACTGCCCTTCTACTGGAAAATTTTTTACGTGGAGAAATAGGTATATGGAAGCCAAGCTGGATCGGGTACTGATCAATGATAGATGGGGAGCCAACGGGTTAACATGCATGGCAGACTTCAAGTTGTTGGCATGCAATTCAGATCACTGTCCCGTAGTTATAACTACGTCCATTGCTATAAGTGACGGAAAAAGGCCATTCAAATTTTTAAACATGTGGCTCACACACCAGGACTTCAAAGTTACTCTTGAAAATGTGTGGAGAGAGCATGTGGAGGGATCGAAGCAGTATATTCTGGCCAAGAAACTTAAGTCTCTTAAAGGACCTCTTCGCACTCTTAACAGAAATGCGTTCAGCCACATCTCGGAGAGAACCCGAGTCGCGAAAGAAGCCTACTCTGTTGCGCAAGATGAGTTGGATGTCCTAAACGCGAATGAACAAGAGAGGGCTTATGTTAATGATCTTCGGAAGAGGGCCTTGTTCTTGATGGAGGCTGAAAGACGGTTCTTTGCGCAAAAATTGAATACAGTCCACTTGGTTGAGGCAGATAAGGGATCACACTATTTTCATAGCCTCATAAATAAAAGAAATGCAGCGTCAACTCTAGCTGCAATCCTTGATCAAGATGGGAACCTAACTACTTCACTCAATCAAGTGGGCAGCTTGTTTGTAAAATTTTTCTCTGATTTATTTGGCACCCCAAGAGAAAGGAATGGAACGGACAATACATATTTTGGCCATGGATCCAATGTCTCTGCGATCAAGCTTTGAACCTTGTGGCCCCAATCTCTAAAGAAGAAATAAAGGAAGCTTTATTCTCTATGGTAATGACAAAGCTCCGGGGCCCGACGGGTACACTGCCGCTTTCTTCAAAGTTAATTGGAACCGGATTGGTTCACTGGTCATAGCGGCAGTGATGGAATTTTTCAGAAATGGGCAACTGTTGAAGCAATGGAATCATACCGTTATTGCTTAATCCCCAAGAAGATGCACGATCAAAGGGTCGAGGATTTTAGACCAATCGCGTGCTGCAATGTTTTTTTACAAGATAATAACGAAGATAATTGCAGCACGCATGGACGAGTACTGCGGACATTGTGGACCAAGCCCAAGGGGCTTTTGTAGGTGGGAGATCGGTGTCTGATAATGTTATGCTTGCTCAGGAACTTATAAGGGGATATTCAAGAAAAGAATATCCCCGAGGTGCATGATA